TGAAGACAGTTTAGGCTCAATATAAATTCTAACTCATTACCTCAATACTGTCTCAATCCCGATGTAAATTGTTCAGAAGTAGGTAATGAAAATTCAGCTCAAACTCTCCCGCAATCAAACAAAGCAATTTTATGAAACAATGAAAAGAATCAATTATATGAGATACTCTTATTATTTTACAAGAAATTGTCGTAACCTTTATGCAGTGTACATAGTTGAGCTGGTTAATACATGATTTGAATCTCATCACCTCTGATAAGTGAATATGTTTTCTTGTATTTTGAGAACCCAGAGACTTAAAAAAAACACGAACCTACTTTCAAACACATATGTAATTGAAGGAGCTAAATCTTAGCTGGAAAAATATTTTTTTTCCTTCTAATTTTCTTTTCTCCAATTTTCTGCTTTTTGCCACTGTGACATATACATTTCACTTATTTTGAATATTCTTCCATTAAAAAATATGACCCTGGAAGTGAGAGTTAAATACAAAAAGTGAGTTCATCTCATTTAATTTTAGCCAAAATGTAGGTGTTGATGCAGATTCAAGAGAGGAAAACAGGTAGTTCCAAATGGTAATTCATCCCATCTTAGGGCATGTGTCCCTAAAATAGTAAGGCTGTTTTTATGGTACTTAGGGCTTCATTAAAAAACAACCACTGAAAATCTGACTACACAATGTCAAGTCCTAAGCAGGAACGAGCCCAATCTTAATTTTTGCATCTGTTAAGAAAAGTTGGAGAGAACTTTGTTCTGGCAGATCGTGCAGTGGAGCACGTACTGCTTGTCCATCTTGCTCTAGTTTCATTGTGGATGCGGTACTGCCTGTCCTGCTGTGGCTGATGTGAAGGCAGCAAAGGCCCTCTACACTGGCCAGCTTAGCGTAAGTGTGATTGCACTGCGATTCAGATGAAGTCAGCACTGCCTGGTGGTCAGGTGATGCCCAAATGAAACGAAGAGGGAAAGACCGCAAGAGACAAATGGAATGAATGGCCTCTGGGCATGCCTTCATTTGTACAGTAACTGCAGAAGAAGATTTTACAAATGGCTTAGACTTAGATGGCTTAAGTAAGATGAATCTGGGCCAGAATGCCTTGTTTTTGTAGCTACAAACTCTCCTGTCTTCACCATCCACTGAAAATTCTTTTTTGGACATGTATTTTTTGTTCTTTATAAAAAACAGAGATAGAAAAGGCTATGTTTGTAAAATGTATTTCAGACTTGGAGCAAAATTCTCTAATTTACATTTAAAGTTATAGTATTCTTAACAAGGTCACCATTTTACAAATCCTTTAAGCTCATTGTTTTGTACTTTCCCATCAAAACGTGATGACGTCCATATGTCATATATATATATATAGGAATACATATAATAAATAAATATATATTAGTAATTATATGAATATTTGTTAATATTATAAGCAAGGAAGATTTTTGCATTTTATAGGGCTGGTGAATTCCCAGTAATAAGATATTTTCCCTATTTATTAGCAAGATCTTCTACAGTACAGTTAATTTCACGTTACATGCTGGTGTTCGATATGGAGATGGAGTCAATTCTGCTGTGATCCTTCCCACCCTGGTCACAGAATTTTGCACGGTCAGTCATAGATTGCCAATTATGGCACTGCTTCTGTGGCTCAGAAATTAGAGCTTTTCTAAAACAGTACTCCCTTCTGCCTCAATATTACAGTGTCTATTGTTTTAGAGTGATACCAAACCCAATAATAAATTGGAAGAGAGAGGATAAGCTTCAGAAAGCGAAGTATAGAGGCTAGTGTTTATTCAGTGACAGATTCTTTTATACTTGTAGTCTGGCATCGTCTGTCAAGACTTGTTTACAAGGAAAATGATTCATAGACAGAATCCGATCCATAACATTAGAAACCGCTTTCAAACTACAGGCTGTTGCACTCCTGAACACTTTAAGTGGACAGACACAGATACAAATAGTCTTGGCCATTTGCTGTGTTTTTCTTACGTTAGTTAAGCGGAACAATTTTCCTCTTAGAGGAAACAGTTATTTTCATTAACGTCAAAGAGAAATAAGTGTTATTCCTTAGACACTACTCACCGTCTGCACAACTAAGTGCAAGCTACCAGTTCTGTCACTTTTTACATTTGATTTTGATTTAATGTGTACAGTGGTTTCAAAGAGTATTAAAAATCTGTTGCCTTCTTCCTCTTCACTTGTTGCCCTGCTGGAGGCTTATGTTTTTCCAGTTTCCATCAGTGGTTGTCAAGTCTTTGTAATAGGATTAAAAGCTTGGACACCTGATATCCCTGGGTGCTGCAGTTTACCCTCATAAAAGCTGTTTGCTTTAAATTGAGAGAAAATCAGTTTTTAGTGGCATAATTAATTAAATTATGCAAAGTGTTCCAGATTCAGCATAACACTTTCTGAAGCAGCAATTGGAAGCTCTACATTGCATTCAAACTGCATTTCAATTGATGCTGCACTAGGCTGACCATAGAGTAGCATTTTCAAGGCTTTCAAGCACAAGGGATCCAATTTTGAAATGCAGATGCTTAATGTTGAGTGCTCAAACCCCATACATGTGCACTTGAATAGGCAATTTGGTAGCCAACTATGTATTTCATGTGCTATAGTGCTAATACGAGCACTCAAAAATTTCAGATTGAAGTTCCAAATGTAAGTACATGTGCTTAAAAACTGAGCTCAGATTGTCTCGCATTTACTCATCACAGACAACCCGATGGAACAAAAATGACAATACATTTTCATAATTTAAAAGGCGGACTACAGAATTCAGTGTTTTCCCCATCACCAACATTTCAGCACATATTTTCCATAATGTGAGTTAGCTTCTCCCATAATCAGCAGTTACGCAACAAACAATTATTTGTACACTGAAGTGGGTCTGTAAAAGCCTGATGCATGGATTATTTGTATTCATTAGTAGCACAATTAGGTAGCTAAGGATGGTAATAATAAATGAAAACAATTCTGGACTGGAAGGTAATGCAGCCAAGAAAAAGAAAATGAAGCAGAAAACTAGACTGTACAACGTCAGCCTCACAAACAAACTCCGATCTAAATGTACCAGATTCATTTTTATAATCACATCTCTTATTTGCTTACTCCTTTTCCTTTCTCATTCTGTCTCCATTAGGATTCGACTTGCCTAAATTTAGGTTCCTGGAATGTGAGTTGAGCAGTTCAGTTCCTGTGGTAGTCAACAGGGATCTAGCCAACAGGCTCTGGAGAAGTGTTGAGCTCCCTCTGTGGGGACAGACCTATCTTTGGCCAGCTGAATCTGAATCTCCTGCTTCCAGGGACTACAGTCCAAACCCAGCTCAATTGCCTAAACACACACCACCTCAGATGGCCAAAATAATTTGAGACATGTCTTATAGGGTCGGTGAGGACAACACAGCACCTGCAGGAGACCCCATGGCTATCTGGAGATGTAGATCAGGCAGGATACTCGAGGACATCTAAGACAGTAGTACATACCTATGCCCAGGCAACTAAACCAATCTTCTTAATTA